GGTTGCCCTGGGCTAAACAAGATTGAACCAGTCTAAAAGAGAAACAGAGCTGGGCAATGGTGGCTCACACCTTTGATCCCAGCACTTGGGATCTCACACCTTTAAACCCAGCACAATGGGGAAGTGGAGACAGGAATATAAGGTGGGTGGAGACAGGATCTAGGCCCCCAGTCGGTCTGAGGACTCATAGAGGTAAGAAGTGACTGTGACTGCTCTGCTTCTCTGATCTTTCAGGTTTCACCCTAATATCTGACTCTGGGTTTTTATTGTTAAGACTAATTGGGATCACACTTCAGGACCCCTTCCTAATTTCCTGACCTCAACCCACACTCAGACCCACATAAACACACACATTAAAATTAGAAGGTAGGATTCACCTTTGAGAGCAAACAAGCAGGGATTGTCTCTCTGAGCTTGGGTTATATCACTTAATATAATATTTTCTATTTTCATCAGTTTCCCTGACAATTTTGTTTTCCTTCACAGCAGAACAAAATGCCATTATGCATATGGACCACATTTCCATTAGCCATTTATTTGTTGATGGATATCCAGACTGATTCTATCTACTTGCTATTGTGAATTGAGTGGCAATAGTCATGCATGTGCGGGTATCTCTGGGGTAGGCTATGGAGTCCTTTGGGCACATGCTCAGGAGACTATAGACATGTTTTCACAGAAATGAAGCTGGGGAACATGTTTCCATGGCGTTGGAACAAGGATCGGAAGAGCAGCTCATGTTCTCCTTCTCTTCTTATGGAAAAACATGAGCTTGCTGGGCAGGACAGTGGGAATTGTTTTCTCCACTGCTGACTGGCTACATTTGGGTGACTATATGCTTATATCTGAGTGTGTGTGTGTGTGTGTGTGTGTGTGTGTGTGTGTGTGTGTGTGACATGCATTTGCATTCGGTGTAGGGGCTAGATGCCAACACCCTGTGATTTTTCTCATTGTTCCTCACTTTATTATCTGAGGTGGTCTCATTGAGCCCAGAGCTTGACCTTTTAGCTAGACTGGCTGGCCAGTGAGTCCCTCACCATCCACCTGTCTCCTACCTCCAGCTCTTGAATTACAGATACACAGCTTTTATGATGGGGAAACAAACTCAGGAACTGATGCACGAGGAGGAAGACTTCACCCACCCAGCTGCCTCCCAACTCCTGCTTTTATGGTAAGACAGGAATAGAGATTTCTGTGTGACTCAGAGAGACACACGTTTGTCAGCCAACAACCCAGGCAGGAAGGGCCCTGGAGACAAGGGTCAGGCATGTCTGTGAGACACTCTGACACAGAGGTGGAATAAACAGACCCCTGGAAACCCTGAAGAAACAGACACAAAGTCAGGCCACACCATCCTGCTTGACAGTGCTGACCTGCTACGCCACACCCACCCAGCATGGGCACACAACAATGGCAGAATGGTTAGAGCTATGAAAAGGAACTGGGGGAAATCCTGTTCATGTGGAGCAGTGTCTCTTCTCGGTTTCCCTTTCTGTCTGCTTTATATCAGCTTTCTACAATGTGTGTGCTTACTTTTATAATCGGAAAGGTCTAAGAAGCATCAAAGCCAGTGGGTCCCCTGTTTTCCAATCACCCTGTGTTCTCTGTCTCGAAGCTTTGGAGGCTGTTTTACTTATTATCCCTGGAAACTACTTTCTTATTTCACCCATGAAGAAATTTTTGTTGTTGTTGTTTTCTTTGTTTTGTTTTTGTTTGTTTGTTTGTTTGTTTTCAATAAGGAAAAATATAACTGCAAGGAGAGAAAGGATGCCCATTGGCTTAGAAAGTTTAAGACTAGAGTAAGGTACAATAGAACTAAACAGAAAACTACCATTGGGCTAGACGACAACTCAATAGAAAAAAATCAGTAAACTGGAAAAAATATCTGTCCAGAGAGCAAGCAATGACAACAGATTGTCCCTCCCAGATGGCAGTTGGAATTAATGATGGTGGGGAAAAAAGGCCTGGCAACAGGTCATACCATCTTTCACGACCCTGAGCAACAGCAGGCGCCCCCAGCTCCCAGCTGACCACATGATCACCAGGAGACACAGTCCTCCTCTCAGGTGCACTGTTTTTTTTTTTTTGTTTTTTTTTTCAGGTCAGCTGCTTCTCACCCATTTCCAGTTTAGCATATTTTTAGCTTACAATGGGGTGTATCAGGACAAAGCCCCATTGCAGGTGAAGCAGACTTGCATTTTGTTGGGTTGGCGATGTTCTCTAGATATCGATCGACTTCATTGGGATGAAAACTTAGGTGATGAGCACTCTGCAGGCTGGGCAGAATTTTCTGGAATTCATTTGTGTGCACTGGTCCATCATGCAGGCACTGTTACTGCATGCTTAGCGCCATTCTGCCTTTGCAAGAAGCTGATTGAGGTGCAGGCCAGAAACAAGAGAGCTGTGAAGTACGTTTAGTCTGAGAGGCTTTTTAAGTATTCCTGTCTTTTGCTTCAACAATGGAATCACACCCATCACATTGAAGGCATGGTTGCTCAAACCTGTAATTCCAGCACTGAGGAGGCCAAGGCAGAAGGAATGTTGTGAGTACCAGGCCAGACAGGGCTACATAGCCAGACCCAGTCTCAAAAGAAGACAAATGATCCAGGTGAGGCTGTGTATCTGTAATACAGGGTGGTAACAGGAGCTCAGGAGTTTGGGGCTAGCCTGTGATAATGAGGTGCTGTCTCAGAGTGCCAGGGGTAGAGAATCTTCCATTTGCATGACACGTTCTATTACATTTGTGGAGGCATTGCAAAGCCCTTTTACAACATCAGCCACTTTGGTCTCACCTGCCCTGCGTAGTGTAGTCAGTCCCTCCATCCCTCCCTTTCTAACAGGTGGGTAGATAGATTCCCTGAATAGTCAATGGCACTAGGTGACCCAACTTGAGATCAACACAGGCAAGTGATTTTCTGTTAGACATCATCATCATTAACTTTCAATGATCACGTTCGTCCTGAAAATTCAATCGAGAAGCTGCTCAGGCAGTTCCGACCCAAATGGCGCCAATCTGTACGCTCGGGTCTCCCATGTAAGGTTCAGCAGAGCACACCTATGATTGGCTGTGCGGCAGGGCTGCATCGCTGGCCCTGCTGAGCTTTGCTGACCACGGCAGGCTGTTCTGCTCGCTGTCATCTGGTGGCTGTGCTCTCAGGAAATCACTTGTGGCCACTTAGTGACAGCATTGTGAAAGTTAAGTTGGATGGTTTCCAACTCCCAGTTTACCTCTTAATAAAATTTAAAATTAGAGCCGGGCGGTGGTGGCGCACGCCTTTAATCCCAGCACTCGGGAGGCAGAGCCAGGCGGATCTCTGTGAGTTCGAGGCCAGCCTGGGCTAC